GTCTGTCCTTTCTGATGCTGGTGATTTGTTCCTGTTCGCTTTCCTTACTGAGCAGTCTACCTAGAGATTTATCAATGTTACTGACCTTGTCAAAGAACTAGCTTTTACTGTTTTTTCTTGTATTTTTATTTGTTTTCTGTTCACTGATGAACATCTTTATTATTTCCTTTCCTCTGCTTATTTCAGTAAAATTTATTCATCTTCTTGTTTCTTAAAGTGGAGGCCGTTGTCATTGTTTGAGGCTTCTTCCTTTCTAGTATGGGTATTTTAAGGCTTTAATTCCTCCCTAAGTATTGCGTTAGCATCATTCCACAATTCAATATGTTATTTTTATTGTCATTCAATTTAAATTAAAATAATCTCAAATTCCATTTTCATTTGTTCTTTGACCCACGGATTATTCCGAATGTGTTATGTAGTTTCAAAATACTGAGAAATGTTCTAAATATCTATTATTGATTTCTGACTTAATTCTGTTGTGGTCATGGACTATATATTGTATAGCTTGAAGCCTTTTAAACTTATTGAGATTTATTTAATAGCCAGAATACAGCCTATCTTGGTGAATGCTCTGTGTGCATTTGCTATGAATGTGTGGTTCTCCCGCCTTAGACTCCCAGAGTTCTGTGATCACACAGGTGAACATGACTCATGCGCTGGTTTTTATCTTTTGTTGTACTTTAGTCTTTGTTATATCTTTCATGCCTCTACTTACCCTTTTGAACATAAGGAATGTGGTTTAAATAACTTTCTTAATGCCCTTGCTAATTCTAACATTTGTGTCAGTTCTGGCTTGGTTTCTACTCATTGATTTATCTCTTCTTACAGCTGATATTTCCCTAATTCTTTACCTGCCTGGTGATTTTTGCATGCCACATACTATGGATTTTCATTTGCTGGATACAAATTAAATTTAGTAGATATTTTTGTATCCTATTTTCTTGAACACTTTCTGCAGTATAATTCTTTGGAAACAGTTTGATCCTTTCAAATTTTGCTTTCTGTGGCCAAACTAGAACAGCGCTCAGTCTAAGGCTGTTTATCATCCATTTCTGAGGCAGACCCTTTTGTACACTCCACTCTGTGCGCTGTGAATCTGACAATGTCTCACCTTGCTGATAAGAATGGTGTTTATGCCCTGTGACCACAGGTCATTCTCAGTCTTTCTGGTGGTTCCCTTAGCCCTGAGTGGTTCCCTCCCCTACATGTTCTGATCTTACCCAGTGGAATACTCTGGGAGACCCTCTGACACTCTTGGGAGTTTTCTCTCCATGTGTTCTCTCCTCTCTAGTGCTTCATCCTGTGCACTGTGGCCACCTGGTCCCCCTGGACATGCTGCTCTCTCTCCTTACTCACTCTGCATGGCTGCATGTGTGCCCCTCTTTGCACTAAGGCTTGGAAACTCTCAAAGCTGTAGCAGAGGCAATCCAGGCTTGCCTTTTTGCTTCCCATATCTCCTCAGAACTCCTGCCCACTAAATATCACCAGTTACAGATCTTGTCTGAGCATCATAAATGAAGAAACAGATAAGGTCTGGTTAGAAGCTTTCTTTAACTACTTAATCTGTCTGGTTTAATAACTTGGTGTTTATGTTTTTAGGAACATAGCTACAGCGTAATGGACAGTCCAAAGAAACTCAAGCATAAATTAGATCACGTGATCAGCGAGCTGGAGGACGCCAAGGAAAGTCTACGGAATGTTTTAGAAAGAGAAAAACATTTCCAGAAATCATTGAGGAAGACAATTAGGGAGTTAAAGGATGAATGTCTGATCAGCCAAGAAACAGCAAATAGACTGGGTGCTTTCTGCTGGGAGTGTTGTCAGGAGAAGATAGAACAAGACTGTACCTTGTAAAATAATTTCATGTCATGTTCTACCTACAGTTGACATTGGCACAGCTTTTTCAGAAATAATTCTCATTTAACGTCCCTAAATAACATCTATCATTTTAAGGTGCTTCTGGGTATCCTCTGGAACGTTATTCATTGTAGTTGTTGTCCAACAACTTTTTTGAAGATGTACGAAAATTAGTGGTAGTTATCATGTTTTTGTGTGGCTTGTGACAATTATGTTTTTATAGACCTATACTAGTACCAGGTCATGAATGTCAGATGTTAAAATCTCAAGAAAACTCCACAGGACTGAGGGTTGATATAAAATTAGCCACATTAGGCTATAGTAGAAGGAGCCAGGCATTTTTCAGCAGCAGCAGATTTTTGGCTCTAAAGAAATACCTATAGTTACACGTGCTTTATGGTAAATACTTTGGATCTTTCTTTACATGTACTTTACTGTAAAGCAGAATTCAGCTATAACACATCTCCATCTTGGCTCTTATCCAAGTTGCTTTAGTTATCAATAATGCCAACTGGTCCTTCCTCAGAGCGTCCCACGGAACTGAGCCTGAGAACAACGCACAGTGAAGATCTGTTGCTTTTCAGACTGTTCAGATCCAATTTGAGAACACCCCTGGGTTTTCAGTACAATGCACCACTCCTCGCAAGGACCACTTTGATAGAAACCAGAATAGATTTAAAAACAAGAAGAAAGGGGTCATAGGTCCGATTTTTAAATGCTTGCTGCTCTGACAGGTCTGAACATTTTGCTTCACAGCATTTTTCATTTTATCATAAAGGTGTATCTTTGAAATCTGAATGCTGGTACTAGCTGAATGTTTGTAATACTGCTTTGTATTTTATAGAAAGTAATATTGCTGATATTTTCAAAAATATAAAAGAAACCATTAAAAATTAATAATTGTGGCTTTTCCAGTTGAAACCGGAACTGGAAAAAGGGTTAGAATGTTTGTCTTTATTTAGGAGAGTAGATTACTGTCCAAGGGCTTTTATTTAGAGAAACAGATAAATAAACAGCAGCTGGCGAAGATTCCTCACGTAATATGCAAAAGAGTAACTCTGAGCTACTTTGAATCCAAGTGTCAGACATTGAGCTTTTCTCCTAATTTCTTACTAAAAACAACTGGAATGAGTCCTAAATACTGTGGATTAGAATTAAAACTATTAGCCAGAGCCACACTCTGTGTAGGAGCACATGTTTGTGCATAAACCGCACTTAGAAGTCCATGGTGTAGTGGTTAGAATTTGAGCATCATCTGTTTTGTTTTATTAACAAAAAATGAATTGCACTTTGTGCTGATTTGTTCACTGTAATTTTGTTTCTGCTACATCAGTATCAGTAGGGATGTGGTAATGTGAATTTTTGTGTGTTTTAAGAATTTTCTGTATTAATCCATGTTATATTTTTATGTAGGATTCCAAACCTTCCTTCTAATGGGATCTTACCCACGTTTGAAAGATGAGCATTATGCTAAGAAAAAATCATTGAGGCCATATCTGTTTATTACCTTAAAAAACAAAACCTTTCATTAGCTACCTAGTTTTTATTTTAGTTATGTAATTTTTAATTCATAATAGACACTCTGATGCAAAGTTTGGGAATAAACTAGGTTTTGTGGAGAAACTTTGATAGAGATGAAGACTTTTTCCAATGAGTATGTAAATTAAAGTGATCCAGTGGACAATGGAGAAAAGTCAGACGGCAGATCCAAACACACATGTTTAAGTTCTAGCACCGTGCTGGCTGCTTAGAATAAAGCCTGAAAGATCTCTCCAAAAGTAAAATCCCACATCCTGCCACTATCACAGTTGTCACTGTCACCTTTACTTCTTACAGTCATAGTGAATTCAGCCATGGTCGTCTTTCTCATGGGATCAAGTATCAGTGAGAAATAGGTAACTGGGGTCAAAATACTGATGTCCTTAGGGACCCAGAGCTGCCCCTATTTGCTCTTTATTCTTGTGACCATTCTATTGAAATGGTTACCAGTAGAAATCTGACATTAAAAAATAGGGTCCTCCCCACTTGCAGCCCCAGACAAATGCCTGAACACGGTATGCACCTCAGTCCTCTGTTCCCAAAGATTCCAGCCTAGCCTAGGAAAGAATTGTCCAATATAAAGCAAAAGCAAGTCATCTTCCACCCAGAAATTCCTCAGGCAGCCAGGGCTGACCTAAGGGTTCCACTTTTTAAAAAAACCTAAGAGTGGCTTCTGGGTCCCGGGACACACTAATACACCAAATTCAGCCTCAGCACCAAGTCAGGTACAAAGGGCTTGATGCATGGCATTTCTCTCCATATCAAATTTAATTTCTGGAAATAGATTTTGTTGGCTAAAGATAATTTTATATAGGTACACCATAGTCTTTGAGAAAAGGTGAGATGTATTTAATATATTTAGTTTTAATAAAAAGATAAAAATATTACAGAAATAACTGAGGAGTAAAAATTCATTATTATTTGAAAAATAAAATATTTTTTCCAGTAACATGTTTTGTGCTTTTTATACATTTGGTTATTCAACAAACTGGGCAGAGAAAAGTAAAAGGTAAATATACAGAGGTTTTGCGTTATTTCCTCTGCATCTTTCCACCAGTGACTCTAACGGGGCCTGCGAGCTCAGGTGACCCTAGTGGCAGATCAGCTTTCCCCCCAAGATGGCCCTGCCACAGAGCCCTCTGCTACTGTGGCCACCACTCAAAACTGGCACCCTTTGGTGGCATCCCAGTGTATAAGGGAGAACAATACTCCTACGTGTGAAAGGTCATGGCTTCAGACCCTGAAGATGGTGTTCAAGTATCATCCTTTCTGGTGGGACATAGAAATTGTAATGATTTGTCTTTTCACTCTAGAGAGATCTTAGCATGCCCAGATCATTGAATACTTCACCCCCCAAATTTTACTGATTATTGTAAGCCCATGAATTTCATAGGTTTTATCTTACCCTCTGACACATGTGCTTTATCAAGGCCTCCAATTTACTAGTTATTTCTTGTTCATCCCCTTGGAGTAACATAATCCCTTAATATAGTGAACTAAGTGATTTTCTGTAGATGTCTATCTGGTCTAGGAAGCAAGAGCACTGACATAGCCTTGGGCCGAGACTGTCCCCATTGTGAGCTATTTCTTATCCTTCTCTTTCTAACAGGGATGGAAAAACGTGCACCCACTAGATCAGTGGTCGCATGGTGTGTGCCCAAAGCCATGTAAGCCTGCGCCAACAAAGACGTCACCTCCGGCACAGGAGTGAATTTGCATTAGTCCACTGTCAATCTTTCTTTTTATTTCAGGTTAATGTGAGGGTACAAACAACCAAGTCACAATATTTGAATTTTTTAGGTAGAGTCCCTCTTGTAGTTATGTCCTGCACCCAAAAGGTGTGCCATACACCCCTCCATTGTGTCCATTCAGTGGGAACATCCCAAACCCCCATACTCTTTCCCCTCCATTCCCCCTCCCCCCATCTTGAGTTAAAAAGAGTTTTTCTTCTACGAGGGTATGAATTAGATCATCTACTGGCTTCATATTAGTATTGAGTACATTGGATATTTGCTTGTCTTGAAGGATCCATCTAAATCTGTGAGAGGCAGAATGAGGAATTAAATGGAGAAAGCGTGGGGGCCGCTACTCTGTATCTTGTGGAGGAAGCACCTTAGCCAGCTCCACAGAAAAATCTCAAACTGGAGTAATGTGCAAAAATGAGCATCAGCCCCAGACTGCTCCCTTCAGAAAGGCCTATAAGGCTGCAAGCTCAGTCCCTGGCTGGCATCCAGGAACTTGGATTTAGGGAGAGTTCCCACGAATGGTCCTGGAAGCGTACATGTATATGTGTATAAATATATGGAAAGAGAAAAAGAGAGTCTTCCAAACATTGCAGTCCATCCAGGCATCTACGCTATAACTCACAAATCTCTCCCTCTAAACCCCATTTCAATTGATTGTGGACCCTTAACATCTCTCAGATACAGTCCCTTTCCTGCTTCATCTCCAGGACTATTTCCCTGGTTCAAGTTGTTACCTTTTAACTTGATTACTGCAACAGACCCTTTGCTTTCCCTGTCTTCAGTCTAAGTCAAGAAGAGTCTTTCTAAAATGCATACATTGGTTGGGTGCAGTGGCTCACGCCTGTAATCCTAGCACTGTGGCAGATCAAGGTGGGTGGCAGGCTCTGTGGCAATTAAAGGTGCCAAGCATAGCTCAGTGGGTCAGGCACCAGCCACATACACCAAGGCTGGCAAGTTTGAACCCAGCCTTGGCCAGCTTAAACAACAATGACAACTGCAACAACAACAACAAAAATAGCCAGGCGTTGTGGTGGGCGCCTGTAGTCCCAGCTACTTGTGAGGCTGAGGCAAGAGAATCGCTTAAGCCCATGAGTTTGAGATTGTGGTGAGCTGTGACAACACGGCATTCTACCAAGGGGAACAAAATGGGACTCTGTCTCAAAAATAAACAAATAAATAAATAAAGGTGCTGAGAATATGAAGCTAATGGAACCAGAAAGTTCCCACCTGAAACATTAATGTGTCCTATCCCAGAACCTGGATTCCGTTAGCACCTTCCTGGCTTGAGAACAGGAAACCAAACCAGCTGGGGAGAACCAAGCACGTCTGGATTCGGGTCCCGGCTGCCACTATATCGTAGTCAGGAAACAGGTCATGGTTACTGGGTTACTGGTTACTCTGAGCACTGACAAAGTAGGCAATATTTTCCCCCTAGGGGTGGTGAGAATTTTGCATAATTGTCTGTAAAGCAGACTGTATTATGAGCCTTCCATATATTGTTTTTCTTCCTTTTTAAAATACTATCCCATGTTGGGCACAGTGGCTCACATCTGTAATCCCAGCACTTGGGAGGCCCTGGCAAGTGGATCGCCTAAGCTCACGAGTCAAGACCAACCTGAGCAAGAGTTAGACCCCATCTCTGAAAAATAGCCGGGCACTGTGGCCGGCACCTGTAGTCCCAGCTACTGGGGAGGCTGAAGCAAGAGAATCACTTGAACCCAAGAGTTTGAGGTTGCTGTGAGCTAAGATGTCATAACACTCTTCCAAGGATGATAATAAATAAATAAAATAAAATAAAATAAAATACTATCACAGAAACCCAGGGAAAGGAAATAAGGACAGGAAGAAGGACAGAAAGCAAGTCGAGGAATCGCGTCTGACAGGGGCGTAGGGAGCAGTGGCCAGGCGGTTATCTGTGCCTTAAACAGCCCTCCCTCTCTGGGGCAGCTCAGGCAAGGCAAGTGTCCCTGAAGACTTTGCCTCTGCCCCGCCTCCCCTTCGTTTTCCCACCCCAGCCCTGACGAGCCATTTCCTCCGTCTAAGGCGCAATTGGTTCCTTCACTCCCTCCCTGAGCCTAGTGAAGCATCTGGGCAGCGCTGGGCAGACTGCAGCCCCCAGAGCAGGGCCCGCAGCAGGGAGCAGAGCCGGCACACCAGGGAGCGTGCTGTCCAGCTGGGTCAGCACCTTTTCAGAGCCAGACTTTCTCCATGAATGAAACAGTGCGCTGTTGATCCACACTCTGGAAGAAGTGACTTATCTCATTTCAGACGGGTCACAAAGAGTTCACAGGCCAGCTGCTATGCACAGTGCTGTGTGTCACAGTCGCCAGTCACCCAGCGGGAGACCTGTGAACCAACCTGAGCTCTGTGGTTTGTGGTCTCTTAAGAGCAGAGAAGATCCCGACAGATTTGTGCCAAATAGTGAACTTCCCGAATCCCGTGGCAGAGCTTGTATAGCTGAAAGGTAACGTCACATCTGACTTAGCAGATTTGGCCTCACACTTTGTAGAGCAGAAGCATTTCATTAAATGAAGAGAGAGAGGTGTGCACGCTGTGCAGTACCGACCACAGACACTGTAGAGACAGACAGGCCTTCAGCTACAGACTTGCCGGTGAGGTGTGCTCAGCAGACAATCTCAGTGAAAATGAAGGCTACTGGTGCTTGTTAGAAACGTGGTTTTTGTAGTGGTACAAAATGTTGCCAGGATACACAAGAAATTACCTCTGAAATCCTGACAGTTCTTAAAAATGTTTTGGTTACCACTCTGACTATGACACACATAGATGGGTCTTAGATTAGGGGGAGTCTTGATCAATGAGTTGTACATTTCACCTTTCTGTGGCTATAACATTATTTGGCTGTGTTTTCTTGAAAAGATGGGAACTGATTTTAACTAGAAATAAAAGGTTCCTATCAAAAGAATCAAACTCACTAGGAAACTACATAGACTGGTAAATTTTAGAATAAAATGTGAATGTATTATATAAATTAAAACTAAAAGCCATTTTAGAATTTTTTTTTTTTAATTGTTGGGGATTTGTTGAGGGTACAGAGAACCATGTCACACAGTTTGTATTTGTTAGGTAAAGTCCCTCTTGTAATTTTGTCCCACCTCCAAGAGGTGTGTCACACACTGTGACCCCCTACCCGACTCTCTTCTTTCCTCTCTCCCCTCCCCCATTCCTCAGGCCCCACCATGTACTAGGTGATAATTGTCCTCATATCAGAATTGTGTATTTTGGATTCTTGTAGAAAGTTATTTTTATATGTACCTATGGCGAAGGGACACTGTATGTGCCCAAAGAGGGCTATGTTTTAACCTTTTAGTGTTGTTTGCTTGAGGATGGTTTGCAAGAGCTGGAAATGGAAGGCAACCCAAATGTCCATCTCGCGGTAAATGGATGAATAAAACTATGGTGTTCCCAAGGTGTGAAATAATAAGCAGCAATTTAAAAGAAAGACAGCAATCTATATTATTGCCATGGGAATAAAAGATCTAATTTTAAGTGGGAAAAAGTTATGTAAAGGACAACTCAGAGTAGTATCCAATTTATATAAAATTTTTTAAAACTCACCTATAAAACAATTTATAAGTGTGTGTGTATATGCACAGTGGAACCTCCATAGCTGACCACCTCCTTAAGTTGACCTAATTTTCATAGCTGGGACATGCACCAAATGTACCTATCAGTATGGTAGGCCTAGTTCCTTATGGTAATCACCTTACCGAGGTCCTACTGTGTGTGTGTGTGTTTGTATGTCTCCATGCATGTGTGTGCATAAGTGCATAGGAAAAGGAAGGGAAGAATATATGGCAAACTGTTAAAGGTTATTACTTCTGAAGAGGAGAGTATATGCTTCCTGTGAAACAGAGAACTAGAGGGAGGAAGGAAAAAAGAAGAAGGAAAAGGCAGGCAATGGGGGAGGGAAAAAAATTATAGGCCAGGCACAGTGGCTCATACCTGTAATCCCAGCAATTTGGACAAGGCAGGAGAATTCCTTGAGGCCATGAGTTTGAGACAAGCCTGGCTTGAAGACCCTCAGCAAACATAGTGAGACATAATCTCTGCAAAAAAATAAGAAAAAACTA